AAAGCCAGGTTTAGTTCCCATTCATATCAGTTCCACCACACTACAATGAGATAATTCACATTTCCAGTTTCTTTAAAATTAGAGTGACTAACCCAAACCTGGACTAAATTAAGGGACTTTAACAGATTGCTCATGCCGACTAGAAAGACACATAACTTGCATCTCAACCTGTCTTCAGCAAAGCTCTTTTGCTTGCGGTAGCTGTATCATCCTGAACTAGAAGAGTTTGGCTCTCTGTCGTAGAGACATGCAGTGATACTGGGAAAGGCTTTGTAAATATCTGATATGCAGGATATCTGATACGTGACCCCCGTGAAAGGGTTGCTTGACCCCCAAAGCCATCGCGACTCCCAATGGAGACCCACTGGTGTAGACCTTTGCTCTGTTCACTGAGCCTTGCTCCAGTCTCGTTCTCAGCAGAGCAAAGGGGTGAGGGGAGTCCCGAGTCCATTCTTTGCATCACATCAATGTGGCTTGCTTGAGCTGGAGCAGCAAGGCTCACTCTTCTGCACTGGCCAGAGCATGGACAACAACAATAGCCAGGACCTCTCAGTACTTTGTGCCTATGCCCACAGGAAGCATTCAAGCCCTAGGCAAGGTCACCCCACCAGTGAAAACAATACATAGCCTAAGTACTTATAATTTCAATTCTTGATCTCTCTGATACGTTTGGTTAGTGGCTAAAAATATAGTGTCAAATAGGCAGTTTTCAAAAGATGAAATACAAATAGTAAACATTAAAAAATGCAAAAATACATCAAACATCAGATAAATGAAATTAAAACTCTACTGATGTTGACGAGAGGATGGGAAGGGTGGAGTACTCTGGAGCACTGCCTTCCAGGTAGGACATGCCTGATGTCCTCAGGAACATATAGGAGTGTGAATATCTGTACAAGACCCACACCACACTGAGACTGAACAGTTCAGTCATGGAAAGGAGTGTCTCAGGAGGCTCCACCTCTCCTGACGGTCCGCAGGCAGTCAATGACTGCTGGTGGAGGAAGAGACATGTCCCTTAGTGTTGTAGACCCTGGTAAGTTGGTTATGCTCCTGTAAAACCCCTCACCCGTGTTCCTGTAAGCAAACCTAATCAAACGTGAGTCACACACAAGCACATACAAGACTGTGAGAGTAGAGGGGACAGTTGGGAGGAAGAAGGTCAGCAGGAGTGGGAAGGAGATGAGAGGGTAATACGAAGTGAATCTCTTCATAATAAATTATCTATGTCAGAGGTTCTCAATCTGTGTGCGACAACCCCTTTCAGGGTCATGTATCAGATATCCTGCATATCAGAATTTTATATTATAATTTATAACAGTAGCAAAATTACAGCTAAGAAGTAGCAATGAAATAGTTTTCATTCCTCAGTGGTCACACGGGAACCGTATTAAAGCATCATTCAGAAGGTGAGAGCCACCGCTCTGCATGCTAGGAGATATCATGATGGAATCTATTACTACATGTAATTAATATATGGACAAAAGGGAACGCTTACATACTGCTAACAGGGATGTAAAACTAGTGAAGTCACCAAAGAGGTTTCTTAATAACCTAAAATAGATCTAGCATTTGTCCCAGCTATAGAGATCCTGGGTGTTTTCTTGAAGGACCCAAATTCAATGTATCAGAGGTTTTTGTGTATACATGCTTACAGCACCCCTACTCACAACAGCTGAATTGTGGAACCAACCTAGGTGTCCAATTTCAGAGGAATGGATAAACAGTGTGGTATGGATGCACAGTGGATTTTTTTCAGACTGAAATAAGAAAAACGTTATGTTATTTGCAGGAAAATGGGTGTGGCTGAAGATAATCATATTAAGCAAATTAAGCCAGTCTCAGAAAAACTGATTTTTTTTTTATCTCACTTGTGGTTCCCAGATTTTTGTCTGGATACATAAAACTATGCAATACATCATGAAAGGGAAAGTGAAATGGTCTGGGCAAAAAGGGGATTGACAGGAGGGAGAGGGGGAGGTAAAAAAGAGGAGGTGTGAGAAAAATACACTTCATGTACAATATATACTTGTATAAACATTGAGGCGAATAATTCAGAAAGCCTAGCATGATTTCCTTATCTGTCAAATCTGGTTCTCATCAACACAGTTTAACTCTAAACATTTAGTTTTACATGCCTGACCTTTGTCATATTTCTTGCACATGTTTTGGTTCTAAATTTGTTTCTTAAACTATTTGAAAGAGGTTTGTTTTATCGTCTGTATATGGTGGAGGCAAGGGGCTTCAAAGTGCTCTCACTTGTTAATGTAATTTTTCCACGGGAGCCTGTGCTTAGGTATCTTACCCTGAGGGAATGAACGTTGAAACTCGGGTTCACAGTACCTTCCTCTAGAAGGGGCCTGTGTTTGTTCCTGCCAGGTGCTCCAGATCTGACAGCTCTAAAGACAGTGTCTCTCTGAACTCTTCAATTCAAAGAGAGCTATATAGAAGGTAAAAGAATATTCAGTGTGGTATCTAACTGCTCAAGGAAGGCATCTCCACTTATCGTAAAAGGCCTCTGAAGTCAAAAAACTCTTATCCTTCAATTACTTCTTAAGTTGTCGAAACTATGTAGTCATCCATGAGTTAATCTCCCATGCATATATTTTCAGGAAAAATAATTTAAATTTGCATTTTGTTTTGTAGTTAATATTTATATCTGCCAAGCAGCTCTCAAAGTCCATCAAATCCCTTTGTGGGTCTTCCTCCTGAACATTATATAAAAAATGACACTATTAGGAATGGAATGGGGGTCTACTTCTGGCACTCTTTTTTTTTTTTCTGAGGCAGGATTTCTCTGTGGTTGTCTGGAACTCACTCTGTAGACCAGGCTGGCCTCACACTCAAAGATCTACTTGCCTCTGCTGAACACTGGGATTAAAAGCCTGTGCCACCACTGTCCAGCTTCCCGCAATCATTCTTAAGAATATCCACCTGCCAAGTACACTTGAATGCATTGGCACAGGAGACCACTTCCTAAATATAACCCCAGTAGCACAGACACAGAGAGAAACAATTAATATATGTGACCTCCTGAAATTGAAAAGCTTCTGTAAAGCAAAGAACATAATCAACAAGACAAAACAGCCTACAGAATGGGAAAAGATCTTCACCTGCTATAGAGATGGATAATTTGCAATAAATTGCGTGCTAATGTCGGTAACTACATCCACATAAAAACCTGAGAAAGCTTAAAATTTAATTCTAGACAGAAAAGAACAGAGTTAAGAACAGAGTTTGCTAGTGGCATTTTCTTGGATGGGCTTTGTTTACTAGAGGTAAGGAGAGGCATGGCTCCTTTAAGGGAGATTTTCCTGATTCAGCCATAGCAGGAAAAAAAACTGCGGCTGTTTTAAAATGCTGGCTTTCTGGGCCCTGCCAGAGTGACCTCTGGCTCTTGCGGAGACGGAGCATTTGGTGGGGTTTATGAACAGACTGCTGCAGCTTCCTTAATGACTACATGGACTAGCTGTGTGCCTGAAATTGGGGCAGTGTGTGCAGCTCCAAGGCAAAAGTGGCTCCCCCATCCTGGACTGTGCAGAGCTAGCAGTCAGTACTGTATATATCATAGGAATAGCACAGATTAAGTTTTAGACTGAGCAGACAGTACCATATTTGACCTAGTAATGTTGCAGCTTAGATTCTTAAGCGCTTAGCATTTTAAGAAGTGCTTCTGGTCAGAAAATAATTACAGATATGCAACAAGGACAAATCCAGATGAAAAAGACCTATAAATGGGTCACAGTGTTGAATAAAATTAGGTAGGCTTGGAAGAGAAAAGAAAAATATAGAGATTCATAAAATAAAATTAATGCTTTAAAAAAAGGGGTAAAGTCTTTAAAGAGACACACTACAATAGTCATATTTACCCTTATTTTATATCTGGGTTTGTGTGGTGGTACATATATTATACACGCTGTATAGTGAAGGTCAGAGGACAAACATGAAGGAACTGGCCCTCTCCTTCAACCACGTGGGTCCTGGGACTTGCACTCAGGTTTTCATGCTTGGTGGCAAGATGCTTTACTCACCCGGCCATCTCACTGGCTCTCACCTTAGATTGTTTGTTTTTTAACTGTAAAAATGAGAGTTGCACAGTACTGATTCAAACTTTTCTGGCTTTAATATTTAGTGGGAAACAAAGACACAAACTGTGCTGTGAGTTCAGAAACAAACATCATCCCAGATTGTATACTACTTCATAAGTACCAGGTAAGGACATACCTGTTGGCTATATTCACATTTTTAAGTGTTTGCTTTCTCCAGCACATAGACCTTCCCAGCTCTAGCACTGTGTGCTACGTGTATGAATGAAGTTCAATAGTTAGATTAGTGGGATTCTCAATTTAAAGGCAGAAATCTTACCTTTGATCCATGTTCTTTGGAAGCCTTGTGTTTCTTTAGTAGGAGGGGATCAAGAAACAACCTATACTAATAATTAGTTCACTTGCTTGGTTTTTCAAGTAAAAATTTCAACATTTTAAAATCAATGAATCATTTTCAAAACTCATTATTAATCCATTCCCATTACCCACTTCCATATTAAGTTGACAAAGAAAGAACCCTTTCCTTAATTTTCTTAGGTAAGGTAAGAATAATTAGCTTGTCCACACTGTATATTGTACATTTCAGGGGAAAAACCCAAAACTTAGAATGGCAGTGCTGCTCCTGCTATATGTACAGCGGTTGACCCAGTACTCTGCTGTAGTCAAAAGGTCATGAATCCAAATCACTCAGGAGAATAATAGATCATTTAAGGTACAACACCACTTACAACATATGTTCATTGGTAGTTAATAACCTGATGAGAGAAGCTTCCAGACACAGCATGAAATAAAAGACTGAGTGAGGGTCATTTACAAAACTTTAAAGGTAGCAGAGCTCATACAAACACTAAGGAATTTATAAGTAGAAAGAGAAACCAAAAAAGGGTACTGTATTCCATGAATATGAGTAGTTCCTATGAAACACAGTAAATATGAACACATGACTTTCGCTTATTCCTTTGCATGAATGCCACTTTTTAATAGAAATTAGTCACTTAATGTACATAATGTAGTATCTGCTTTTCTGGGCTAGTAGTTTCGCAACAGTCTCATGGGAAATATTATTCTCCTCAAGATGTGTTTGGATGAGTGAACCCTGGAGCATCAACTGTATTTAAGGGAAGGAGTTAGGGTCAGAGTTAACCTGTAGCTAACAACGTGGAGAAAGAAGAAACAGAGCCCCACAGGAGTATAAACATGCATTATTAAGTCAAGATTCAAGGTTAACCAACACCACACAGATTTCTCCTCAGCTGAGTGTACACATGGAAAGGGGTGACTTTATCGAGACCCAAAGCTGTAGTAGTAAGGTTCATCAGGGCGAAATCCATATGCAGTGGCAGGACGTCCAAGAATTCCCACAGGTTGGCCAAAGCCATCCATTCCGAGGCTGAAAAGAGAAAGACAGGTGATAAGCTTTTCTGTTTGAACCACACAGCCACAGTGCAGGTCATCGTCAGGATCTTTGAATGTCACACTTCCAGGATTCCCCAGCAGTGACAGTGATTTTCAGAATTATTATTAGTCTTTCTATTCTCATTAAAATACAACTTCTAAAATATCCACCTCTGATGATCTATATTCAGACACCAGAAACCTGTCAGGCTGGTCTATTCCAAATAAAGTGAAAGACTCAACTCAACAGTTTGAACTCACAAATTTTATATATATATATATATATATATATATATATATATATATATATATATGGCTCTTATGAAAGAATATGAAAAAAACCACATTCTGGCAATGCTCAGCACTACTCTGCTGGGAAATGATAACAGTGGTAACTCTCTGTCTTGTGGAGATGGAGACTAACCCCTGTGAATAGGATATGCAATCTGGAGCATTAGCAGTGAGCTCCCAACACATACATCTAAGTCATTCGAGCTGAGAAGGACAAGGCAGCTCTGCACAGCCTGCCAATCAGCTGGAGCTGACCTGTAAACTCTTAATGCTAAATTGTGTGTCTTTTTCTTTTCAGTAAAAGCAAGGCTACTATAAGCTCTAGTTTATTCTGTGCAAACAGAAGCCAAGGATTTGTAAATATAGCCTGAAGCATAGATACAGTTTATTCTTAATTTATAATGTTCTTTTGTTTCTGAATAAAAGAAAATCTGTTCTACAAAGCATTTTAGCAAAGTATTAGTCATAACTGAAGAAAAGGACAAAATGTTATTTTGCCAGGCAAATATGGCAGCTTCAACATGCTCATGCATAGCTCATGCAGCGAATGCTAGTGAGCTCAAAATAAAATGAAAGGAAATAATTTATAGTGTGGAAATGTAAGCTTTGAAAACAAAAAGTACATTTGACAACATTATTTGAGATTCTACTAAGCAGAATAATTTTCACCAACAAATGTCAATTTGATTAGAGTAAGTATTCACATTTATATTAATTTCTTCTCACAAGAAGGATTATACTGAAATGCACGAGTAGGTATTAAGATGCTAATCACACACATGTTCAAGTGTTTGCACATGGATCAGACCATATCTAAAGAGTAAGTGCTATGGTACACGATGTATAAGAATTAAATATAAGGCATGTACTTCAAGTGAATCTACCTCTTGGGGTAGGTTTATATACCTTTCAGCTTAAGATTTATACTGAATGATCCTGGGAAATAAAACTTCATGAAAAATATTGGATCCATAATTTACCAAAGCTAGCTGCAAATTTTAAGTCTGTATTTTATTTTATTCCATGGAAGAGATAAAACTTTGAGAAGAAGGGAAAGTATTATGCAGCTTCAGAGAGGGTGGAGGTTGAGAGTAATCAGAACATATTATATCCATGTATGAAACTGTCAAAGAATACATTTAATTACTTAAAAAGATGTTTCAGAAATTAGTGGATTTAACAAAATTCTATTTATTCACAAGGTACAGCTATTCACAGTTAGGGGAACAGTTGGGGAGAAGTTCTGGAAAAGACAGAAACCATAAATACAAAGGGGAGCGACACAGCAGAACTTCTGTACTTCTGACTCAGGAAGACGAGACATGGCATTACCAGTCCAGGGACAGTTGTGCCCTTACCAGCGACTTCGCAACCCACGGAAACTAAGCTGGGTGTGTGACACCTGCTCACTCTGTGTGGCCACTGCATTAGATAGTAGTTTGTAATGTGCGCTTACACATATGAGAATTTAATGGTGTCCTGCTTAGTATGTCTCTGTATGGACCAATTCTTTCTGCTGCCCTGAACATATGGAAAACTTGTAAATCCCTCTATATTAGCTTATGAAGCCCACTATGCTACTTTTTCTTTACAAGACTATTTATAGTGCTACTTAACTTTTGTCTTTAGTGTTAAGGTAAAACATTTTAAACCACTGAATTACCCAACCTCAGTATATTTTCTTGATAATATATAATTTTAGTTAAAAAAAAAAGTCCCTCTCTGATGGAAATGTGACTTTGGGTACCTGGAAAAGAAAATGGAAACAAATCCTTGAAAGTGAAAAATATAACCCAACAATAGTATATTAAACACTTAGAATTTGTTTCTATAAATATACAGAGTAATTTGACACAGAGAAAGCAAAAGCTTGAAGTCTGTCAATATCTACAGTACGTGAAACAAGTCCTCAAGCAGCATTCACTGAGACTCTAAACTTGCGATGGTTCAGAGGGAAGACGAATTTGAAGATGACAGGTGACCCTTTACATGCAGCGCATTCCAAGGACACGGCAGCAGCAGGAATCCCTGGCACACTCGGGAAGACAGGCACCTACCTCAGGCTGTTTGGGAGGCTTAATTAGTGCATGTTTGTAAAGCACTTTGAAATCCTTGGATGAAAAGCGCTGCATAAGTGAAAAGCATCATCATTATTTTACTATAATTACATCAGAGCAACACGTCTTTTTCTTCTTTTAAATTCCTAAGTCAGCAATTTAAAGTAAGCAAGCATGTAATAAATTTATTAGTGGATGCTACTATGAAAAGTACTTTGACCATTTTTTCTTTCATAACCTCATAGTATCTAGGATCTGAAAAATCTCCTTTTGAAACAATCTTGTTTGCACTTCAGTTCACAACACTCTTGAAAGCACTCATCCAGACCTTGTCTGAACTGGAAATGAGGTGCTTGTAACTCTGAGTAGATATGCCAGGCTGCTAGAAAGTTCTCTATTACAGTCCCCTGGAACCCTATCCAAGTAGTCTTAGAATTACTCTCTGATCCATAAGTGAAGTCTAATTCTTTATGTACTGTCTCATCACTGTTTATTCAACGGTCAGGACACAATCTTCAATCTCTGCTTCTCATTTGTCTTCTGAAAAACTTTGATTTACCTTTAAATCAAATATGCAGTTTGTATGATATTTACGATGTGGTCTGAAATCACTACAGCAGTGGTGATATTCTATCTTGAATGTGCCCAATCTCATCTGAACCATGCATAGCAACAGTGGGAACCTATCTCTGACTTTATTAATGTAACAAACTCCACTGACCCTAAGAAAAATGTTAAGGACCTATTATGACAAAGTAGTCTAAGATCGAGTGTATAAGTGAATGTATAGTTGTGCATATAGTCAAAGACACACCGAGTTTTCACCTGCCAATAAACTGGATATCTTTCTTTATAGTCTGTGACTGCCTTTGTGGATTCTATACATCATTACATAGAATATTTGGTTTCAATATAATTATAAACAGGAAACAATGACTTTTAAAATCACTCATTTTTTGTGATTCACAGGTGACATTAAAGTCTGGAGTTAATCTTGGATTTCAAGTAAAAGTAGCTATCACTGGAGCAGATGTTTCCTGACTCTATAGAACTGCCATTACATAATCTCTTAACATTATAGATGATTTCATTTGTATTAATTTAGTATCAATTTATGAAATGATCACTGAATAAAAAAATCAGCATTTTATACTCATAATTAAATAATAAATTGATCATCAGAAGAATTTTGGCATAACTATGATCTGTCATAGGAGTTCCAAGTCTGGTAACTGATTCTTTGTGCATACATCTGCTCATTCAAATAGAACAAACACCTGTTGAATTCCTACCATGTGTTAAGCATGGTGTTTGGAGCTAGTATATAAGCTCATAGGGAATGGCACTATTAGGAGGTGTGATTATTTTTGAGAAAGTATGGCCTTGTTGGAGAAAGTGTGTCACTGTGGGGGTGATACATGCTCAAGACACTCCCAACATATCAGTTTATGTCCTATTGCCTGCTAATCAAGATGGAGTACTCTCAGCTTCTTCTCCAGCACCATGTCTGCCTGCATACTGTCATGTCCCAACACAATAATAATGGATTAAACATCTGAAACTGTAAGCTCAATTAAATGTTTTCCTTTATAAGAGTTGCCATAGCCATGGAATTGCTGCACAGCAGTAAAAACCCTAAGAAAGACAGAGTTGGAACCAGGAGTGGAATATTGCCTGACCATGCTTTTGTTTGAAGGAATATGGACTTGAAACTGTGGATTAGAAAAGCAGTTGAATACTTTAAGTGCTGCTTAGTGGGCCATCCTAGTAGGAGCAGGGAAGACAGTGGCACTGCGTGTGATCTGACGAACTATGGGGAGCTGGCTTAAGAGGTTTCAGAGTAGAGGAATTTTAGTATGTTGCTTAAAGATCATTCTTGTAATATTTTGGTGAAGAATGTGGCTGCCTTTTGTACTTGTCTGAGGAGTCTGTCTGAGGCTACATGAAGAGATTTGGATTAATTCTCTTGGCAGAGGAAATCTCAAAACAGCCTAATATAGACTCTGTCATGTGGTTATTAGTGGTGTTGTAATTTAAAAAAGCAGCATGGGAGAGAAAGACACCATATAAGAGAGCTCAGGTGGAGTGGTGTTTTGTTGTGGGAGAGTGAATGGGAAAAGGGGGCTATTTATCAACAAAGGTTATAAATGGTCTTCCCAGGACTTGGTTATTATCTCAAATTTTCTCAGGACCCCATAAGATCACCAGTGCCCACCAATGAGCAGGAAATAGTCTAGAAAACTACATCAAAATTCCTAAAATATTGTTTATGCATGTTTGTTTTAATTTAAAGGGGGTGGATTATAAACTGTTATTGGTCATAGTCAATCTTTTTCTAAAAAAAGAAAAGGGGATATGATGTAGAAATGATGGGAGTAAAGGGTAGATTATTGAATCTACTTTTGTTAAAAAACAACTGTTAATCTCAAAATATTTTACATTGGTATGGATTTTAGTTTATTTAGTTTAATGACATAAATTTAAGGTCATTTTTGTTATAGTGTATGTATATTTCTACTCTTGTTTAAGGTATTATATTTATGCAGCTCATTTAAAATGTAACATATAATTAAAAATACAGATTAATAGTCATCTATAATAGTCAAACTTATAGCCATATTAATTAGTTTTTTAGGTATATAAAGATATATTCCAATTAGATAGGTAATATTCAAACACTTTAAAGACCTACAGAATATGACACTTAAAATGTTTTAAGAAATTAAGACTTTTCTTGATAGAGACATGTCTGTACCTGGCAGCACCATTTCCTTCAAAGGAAATGATGGGCATTGAAGAAACTCATTATGGGTTTTTGTTCAAAGTGGCAAGGCTAGCCATTCGGGTAAGAAACTGTTCTTGCCTGATTGCTTGACAGTATGCTGTATAAACTGGACATGCAGGACCCACAGGGAAATGACTGCTAAACTTTGCCAAAACAAGGAGTGAGTGTCCTTCATATTCCTGCTTCACAGAAGAAACTACCAGACATTTGTCAACACATAGAGGAAAGCGACTGACAAACCACCAATATAAGCAGGAGAGTCCTTTAAATTTCCTGCTTCACTAAAATGTCTGCCAGATACTACTAGCCTGTAGGCTAAAGATGGATGCCCCAGTGTTACAGAGGAATCCTGGGTGACTGTCCAGGAAGTCAGATGTCTTTGTCATTTCTAGAGTTTTGGAAGTTGCTTGCAATGCACTTCCTGTTTACACAGGTAATATTATATCCTTCTGGGGTCTTTGATGGAGATGAAGACTAGGTAGTTCTAATTATAGTTTTCCTTAGTTATGATAAATGGTAAATTAGATATGAAACTTTAGACTCACAAAGACAGGATAGATGATAGGGTATTAAATTTTATCAAATGCAAATAGACTAGATATTGTAACTGTAACTCTTATTTGATAACTGTTTTGTTATATGTAATTTTACTATTTTAAAAGAAAAACCGCCAATTTTGATTAGACAGAAAATGGGTATGCTGTGGGATGGTCTTTCTGTATTCTGTGAATATGTGTTGCTCTCATTAGTTGATAAATAAAAAGCTGCTTTGGCCTATGGCAAGGCATCATAGAGCCAGGCAGGAAATCCAAGCAGAGATATAGGACACGGGTGGAGTCTAGAAGACGCAAGTCAGCTGCCAAGGAAGCAAGACATGCAAAAAATGAGGTAACAAGTCATGAACCATGTGGCAAAGCATAAATAAAAATATGGGTTAATTTAAATGTCAGACTTGGCTAATAATAAGCTTGAGCCATCAGCCAAGCATTTATAAGTAATATTAAGCCTCTAAGTGGTTATTTAGGAACAGGCAGGTAAGAGAGCATCCTCTGATTACATTAAGTATTTAATATACCGAGTGCATGTGTGAGGCACAGCACCGCACTGCTTTAAACCTGCACAACAGGACACTAAAATACAATGTGAGCATATTAGAGACACAGTACAATCTCTACAGCAGAATCTTTGAGGTTAGACAGTCTTTACATCAGTTAAACTTGAAGGCATTTGTCATTATATTTCTGTCATATATTTTGGTTGTTGCTTCTTGTATAAGAATGTAAGTACCATGGAGGGCTAAGAATGTAATATTCTTTGATACATATGAAGCACCTAGCATAGACTCTAACATGGAATGGACAAAGAGTATCAATGTATGAATGGAGGGGTAGGGCAGATAGGATTACACAGGTTAAAAGAGAGATGCAGAAGGCAAAACAGCAGCATCTACAAAGTAGCAAGCAAGCAGTGTGTTTTGGTCAAATTCCTTTTTTTTTAAGATTAATGCATTTTTAAAAAATTGATTTTGTGCTATACATTTTTCTCTGCTCCCCTCCAACCCTCTCCCAGGGTCCCCATGCTCCCAATTTACTCAGGAGATCTTGTCTTTTTCTACTTCCCATATAGATTAGATCTATGTAAGTCTCTCTTAGGATCTCATTGTTGTCTCGGTTCTCTGGGATTGTGATTTATAGGCTGATTTTCTTTGCTTTATGTCTAAAAACCACTTATGAGTTAGTACACATGATGATTGCCTTTCTGGGTCTGGGTTACCTCACTTAATATGATGTTTTCTAGATCCATCCATTTGCCTGTAAATTTCAAGATGTTGTTATTTTATTCTGCTATGTAGTACTCCATTGTGTAAATATACCACATTTTCCTTATTCATTCTTTGGTCAAGGGACATTTATGTTGTTTCCATGTTCTGGCTATGACAAACAATGCTGCTATGAACATAGTTGAGCACATGTCCTTATGGTATGATTGAGCATCCTTTGGATATACACCTAAAAGTAGTATTACTGGGTCTTGAAGAAGGTTGTTTCCTAATTTTCTGAGAAATTGCCACACTGATATTCAAAAGGGTTGTACCAGTTTGCACTCCACCAGCAATGGAGGAGTGTTCCCTTTACCCCACACCTCTCCAGCATAAGTTGTCATCAGTGTTTTTGATCTTGGCCATTCTTACAGGTGTAAGATGGAATCTCAGAGATGTTTTGATTCACATTTCTTTTTTTTTAAATTTATTTATTTATTAAGGATTTCTGCCTCCTCCCCGCAA